AGAAAATATTGTATAAATATTTTATTTTTTTTAAAGATTTATGTAATTTTTGCGATTCATTAGAATGCATACATATTCTTAAGAGAATAGTTGATAATATTTTGATTTTTTATATATAATTAGTGTATTTACGTTATAATGTACACCTAGAGATATTTATTGTCAAGTTGACTTGTAGAGATATGGGTTCAATCATCCGATGTGTATATGTCAGGGGGAATGGCGGGGTGTTCTGCCACTCTTTGTCATATCGATTTTTGCTCCCTGTCACCATAGCTTGTATTGTATCCATCCCTGCTTTATCATGGCCACCGTCATCTCCTTGTCTCCGTTATGTCTTTATTCTTGATTTGCGTTTTTTTTTATTTAAAAATTCTCATAATTGTAAAAATAATTTTTAGTTCAGTTTAGTCACTATGACTATAAAAAAATCCACTTTAATTAATTCTTAATTATTTTATTTTAAGCATAAATAGTTTTATAAATAACTGGTATATCCTAATGAGAACTCACATTATATGAGTCTTTCAGATGACAGAATGACTTAACTCCATTTTCAACATTTTTGAGTAAAGTCATTTTAGTGATATTTTTAGTTGAAAAAGTTATATTTGCACAGACAGTGAGTAAGTTGATTCCAGAGTAGGTGATTGCAGTATTCATATAAGCAAGAAATATCACTGAAATTAATAATAAAAAAATGTGGAAATTGGAGTTAGTCGTTGTGTGAACTGAAAGGCTCATATAGTTACTTCTCTTCCTCATGTATACGAGGTGTCAGTATAATCGGTAAAAAATGTTTATTTGTATATACAATATAATATTTATTATAAAAATATTCTATTAAATACACAAAAAATTGAGTAATAATTTACTTAAGAAGCTTGTCCCATTGGAAAACATCCCTCCAATTTAATAGTGAACCTATAAGACACTGCTATCCCTTCCCTATATCCACCTATATCTATTATTGGACCCCGTATCCATTATTATTAGCTCAATTGTATTTGTTTAATACATAATCCTTAGTTTATACTTCTCTTCTCAAAATCTATTACTGAGAGTATAGGAGCCTTACCTAAATATTTATTTATTAAATATACCAGAAAGTTTCTTTCTATATTATTCGAAGTGCTCAAGGGATCATTTATTTTTTCAATAGATTTTTATTTCGTCGAAGACTTATCATAAATAGTAATGTTTTAACTTTTACAACTTAAACATGTGATAAGTATCCTATGGCAACTAGAGGACTTGAGAGGGTTCTAAAAGAAACTATACTAAGTATTAATATAAGCGTTAACATAATTTGTTCAATGACTTAATTTAGTTGTAGTAATGTTTTACGTTATTATATTGGGATTAGCAACTTATCAATGAAATTCCCTTTCGTTTCATACCCTATTCATCAAAATCCATCGCTTCAGAGAGTGTCATGTACAATACAGATATCTAAAAATTAAATTTATATATAGCTCTCATAATTTTTAGTTTATTTTTTCCCCCATTAAAAAAAAGTTCATAATTTATTTTTATTTTTTTTCACACGAAACGTGGCATGAGATTTAAAATGTGGCATGAAATGGAGGTAATAGAACACTAATTCGTTAAGAAGGACGTGTAATTGATAGGATGGCGGATTGACGGGAAGGTGCTCTGAGTGATGTATCAGTCATTCATAAAGGATTTATTGTTTTATGGAGGGGTCGTTGGTTCGGCTAACATTGTAATTGTCTAAAAAGGAAGATTGATTCCATTTCCAACCGATTGACAACCTAATCAACGTACTATTTCGGTTTGGAACCCCGTGGGAAACATTTCGTCTTCCCTCCCTATGTCGTACGTCTCAGCAAAAACCCACCCCATTATGTATATAATTATTAATTTTTTTTTTAAAGGAATGTATACATTAGAAATTATAATTCATAGCTCCTTTATGAAAATTTTAAACCCAATCTGAGATTTTAGTTCATAACGTCTACTAAAATATAAAATTTATTACTTGTAATATAGACAATGAAAACTTTCGTTATTACATGTCGAAGTTATATTTCATACAATATTCTTGCTAACGTTTAGGGACTGTTAAATCATCCTCAGAGATTTTCTCTTAGCATCATAATAAAATTTCTAAAATATATATATTATTATAAGTAAATGTTTTTATTTGTCAGATTTATGTTTTACAATTTCTTCATCATAATCAACATCATTTGTACTTATAATCATACCTGTATTTTAGAAATTAAATTATGCTGCAATAATAAAAGTTTTAAGGATGGGATGCAGTCCCCAAACGTTAGCAGGAGTTTAGGTGAATTGTATCTTTGATATATAATAATGGAAGTTTTCATTGCCATTCCTACCAGAAATTAAATTGACTCATCAACTAAAAAAAATAAAGAATGTATTATTTCGTTGTAATAATCTTTCATACTTAATTAATAAATGATAATCTTTAGCTTTAAAGGGGGCATATATCTTTTATATTTATGTGTAACATTAATTAAACAAATTCCCTCGTCAAAATTTACCCACGATGTAAATTCTTATATTGATTAGAAATTACTCTTATTACCGGACGTCATCTTAAATGGGCAATAGTTTCAGGAAAAATTAAACAATATATATGAGCTTTTCAGTGGACAGAATGACTAACTCCGTATTCAACATTTTTGAGTAAAGCCATTTTAGTGAAATTTCTTGTTGAAAAATTTACAAGCAGTGAGTAAGTTGATTCCAGAGTATGTGATTGCAGTGTTGAAGTATAGAACTGTCTAGAAATATCAATAAATTTAATAATAAAAGATTTTGAAATTATAGTTAGTCATTCTGTGAACTAAAAACCTTATATAATATAACGCTCATATTCGTAGTCTGATATGTCACTTTTTCATCAGAAAGTTTTAACAAAAAAAAAAACCCATAATAATAACTTATTTTTCTTTTTTAATTTTAATCGGTTCGTCCTGGCGTGAAACAGCTCTGGTAATAATGAATATTACAATTAATTTAATTGTTTTTAAAAAAATAAATTTTTATTTATAAAAGACATTAAAACAATATTTCGAAGAATTTTATTTTATTTTTTTGTGGAAACAGATTGAGACTTCAACAACAAATAAAAGGATTTTTACAGCCTAACTTGAAATATTACCTCATATATTTATAATTTTAAAGATATTAATAAAGTAGTAATTATTATATTATGTACAATTGAAATGACTTTACTATATCTAAAATGAAATTAATAATTATGTGTATTATGGACTGCTAGGCCACAACATTACGTGATTGGTTACTGCGGTCTGTTCCAGTATGATTAGTAAATAATAAACATATAAATAAATGTTTTAATTAAGTCGAATGTAAAAATGGAGTGACGATAAAAAGTATATATTCATATGTTAATTTATTTATATTTTTGGTAAACTAACATATATCTTCATTTTCATTCTTATTGTATTAGCTCAGCTTGAAATAAGCTTTAACACGTCGCTATCCGTGTCCGTTTAAATATTAAACAAATAAAAATATATTTTTAACGTGACATTTTACCTTCAGGTTAAATGGAAAATTATAAATAAAAGATAGTAATAAATCGGAGATAGGAGGACAGAGACAAAGTAGACAGAAGGATTGCCCTGAAGAAAGGCTTTTTGAGAGGAATTGGCAACAATATCTGCCCTGTGTAAAGATGACAGGAGCCCTGTCGAAAGCTCTTTGGCCATAATATACATGTTAGGATCTGTCGCTGTGTGCGGCGGTGAGTCTGTCCAAGAAAGTTCTTTTCAAGATCAGTGACGGGACCGAAATTCTTATTGTTGTGAGATCCCAACTAGTCGTAAAGCACCAATCATTTCGATATATATCTCAAGTATTTGTATCGTCGCATCTCAGTATATATAATGTGAACAAAATGATGATTTTTTGTCAATTTTTGGTGATAGATACTTGACGTTTTTTGTATTTCAACACAGTAAGTCTAGGAAATTAATAATAAATATAACATATAACATGTATTTGTACAATTAAAATAAAAAAATGATTCATATATATTACAGTTTTATTTTGTGAAAAGTAATTATTTATAATTTTTTGTTTTTATTCATATGATATACATATTTACACCCATGACATTAAGTTAGGCAGTTATCTTATGCTATTATTAATACTTTTTAAAATGATAGAACAAATAGTCTAAGTTTGGAAATTTCAATTATAAAAATAAATTAATTAAACTGAGCAACGTAAAAAAAAAAAAAAATAAGAAATAATATTTTAAAAATGTTTATGTAAATAATGTTAATAAAACTTACTATAATTTTTTAAAGTATATCGTATGTAAACAAGTACATTCTAATTTTTAAAATTAGTTTATGTATTAAATTTTTTTTATATTTTTCATATCGTAAATTTAATAATATTAATTTAAAACAGTAATTATTGTTTAAATATTAATCGCTATTTAAAACAGGGAAAAATGGTATAGTAGTTATCACCGTTTCATGTTATCCATTTATTATAAATGATGTTATTTATAAAATGTTGCTAACTGAGGTTTTCCTAACCAATATAGTGAAGTAGATTTTGTAAATTCTCATTAGAAGTTTTATCCGTGAGTTATTATTGCAAGACTTTAGACTAGAACAAGATAAAGACTTAACATTTGTGTCTTATTTGATTAATGAAGATTTAAGATAATTTATTAAATTGTTTACTACAATTATAAATAAATTGTTGAATGTTTATGATTTGTGTAATACTCTGAAGGAGATATCTACTGCTATTGCTAAATATATTTATACATGGCTTTAAAAGTTGATGTTTTCACCTATTATCTCCTGACGCTGAAATAACTTTAATGCTCTTATGTGCGATTAATTCTCCGGTCATACGATTCGGTTCTCTTTCGGGCAGTTGAGTCGATTTCCTCTAAATTCGGCGAGTGGACCATCACTTAGCAGTCAGGCCGGGACGCCAAGAGCAAGAACTGTTGGATGAATGGAGGCTTCGGTTGGTGGAGTCTTTCCCCATTGACCATTAATTCTGCTAATCCTCTAGGGCGACATATGTCCAGGCTCTTTCAATTACCGATGTCCATTAGGAGAGTTGGGGGGGAGGAGGAGGGTATTGAAGGAAACGCATTTACTTGAACAGACTAATAATAGTAAGGAGTCATTTTGACAATACATTTTTTTTTTCTTCATGATTTAGTTATTCTTGCATATTAAGGAGGACTAGGAATATGTAAATTGGACCCCCGTATCTTGCGCAGGGCTAGGAGAGAAGTGTGGGTAAACGGCAGGCCAGGTCTGGCGAGAGATGACCTATCGGCTCTCGACAGAACCGCCTCGCTTTTCCCCCTTGATTTACCGCGGCTCGGTTGCTCTCTCTGGCGACCATCATTCTTTACCGTCATTTCTCTCCGTTGATATAATTCATTTGTTATTTTTACTATCTTCTCCTCGCCTATAGAAATAAATACTAAATCTTCAGCATTCCACAACCGCTTTCAGCCTTGTTTCTTTCAAATTCTATCGAAAAAGAAAAAAAAAATGTGTTATTTTTGCTTTGTTTGTTTATTTATTTTTTCAACTTTTCGTTCTAGATCTCTTGTAGCTCACAATAATTTCAATATAATATGAATTATAATTTTGAACATTCTGTTTAATCATCTCAACTTTGTCTATATGAAATCCGTTTATAATTTTATGAAATAAAAAAAAATAAACTTATTTATTATCTGATATGTAATAATTATCTATTCATTATATTAGATTTATCTTTATTAAGTACATTAATTTATTTGAATACTTTAAATTCTTCAACAGTTAATAATTCCAATATAATTATTTGAGATGAGTGAATTAAATCATATCAATTATAAACACCACTGCTCAATTTTTGACTAAAATTAGTAAAAGAGCTCCTTCCAAATTATGAGAATTGTTTTAAGCTGTGTTATGGGAGAAAATAACGTAACCTCATATGATTGTAAGTTGGTACTATTATTTTGCCTCATAAGAAACAGATATTTTATATGATGTGATGGATTTCTGTTGGTTCATATTTTATTTGAATCAATTAAAAATTATTTAAAATGAAATGTAGGTAAAAATTTGTTACCTCTTTTTTAATACAATACCATTTATATCTTCTTTAGCTATCTTATAATTTTGGCCATTACAATGGCCTATAATAGCTAGAAATATATTAGAAAAATATATCTAATTATGACGAAAATGGAAGAATTAAATTAAATTTTTAAGAAATTTTATTTTTCTCATTTGCTAATTCATAGTATTTTTCATCTGTTATTTGTGTTAAGTTACTTGCTTATTAAATTCGTAATATTATTGCAAATATAAATCTATAAAAAATAGATTGAGAGATATATATTTTTATGCAAATTAATTAAGTTAATATTTCTTTAAATTTGTTATTTTGGGATTAAATCATTGCTTTTTCTGTCTGCTGAAATAAATGCATATACTGCATGTAAATTATTTTTATGATTTGATGCAATAAATATAAGTTTTTAATAATATTTGAGGTATTTATAAAATATGCTTACTAGTAATAAAACCGCCTGTATTATTTACTATATAATGTGGAATGGTTATTACAATGAAATTCCCCCTCTAGTTCAAAAAATCATTTAGCAATTATGATCGCTATTTGAAGGAATGAACGTAAAATTGCCATGTCGATTGCTACTAAATCACGCCTGAAGTGCCTCCTGTATCCATTTAAGAGATAAAACGACGTAGGAATTGCTCGTTGGAATTATTAAACAAATCTTATTTATATTGCACTTGACTAACAAGGTTTCAAACGGTATCACTTTAATCCCTCTATTAAAATTTTATGATATCTGCTATGATTTCCTTGAATATCGTCTCAGTTGTCATGTGATTGCCTGGCCGTAGTAAATAACTTATGTTTTTTTTTGCATATTTATTTTTATTATTATTATTTTTATGGTCATGTTGAGGTGACTTGTTAGGGGAGAGCAAGCCTCTCGGGATCGGATAATTCATAAATTATACCCGCTATATTTATAAGAACATTTCTCTTAAGTAAATAAAATGGTAGCAGATTTTTTTTTTTTTTTACATATAGTACATATTTTTATTTCATTTTTTCCCTCTCCCTTGCATATTGCGAACATAATTAGCGTTTCGCATAGGATTAAAGTGCGGTATGTATGGTTCTTTTGTTTAAAGAACAACACCATAAATTTGCTGCCGTCGAAAGAACACAACAGTAACTGTATTTCAGATATAATTGAGAACATTAAATTTGAAAGTTCCTCAATAATAAAGAACATCATGGTTGCTTCATCCGCCATTCTTATTTAAATCTTTATTTATTTATAACTTCAAATTCAAAAATAACAACTATTTTAAAAAAAGAACACCAGTTACTTCCAGTTAGTTGATACATTAAATGTCACCCAAACACTATCTATTCTGTCATGATCACGATAAATAAATTTAGCTCTATGGACTTAATCCGTGTGGTTTTAGACATTGAATTGTACATCTTATAATTTTTATAAGTTTTAAAGGAGGGTGTTAATATAAAGCAGGAGTTCAAACTTTTATGGAACTTTTTAAAATAAGTTTTATTTTAACAGGTTTTGAAAAAAAAAAAATCTATTCTAACAGTTTCTGGGACGTTTTAGGAAAACAGTTTTAAAATAAAGGGGCAAAAAATCTTTTTTTGTAATAAAGTTCTAGGTTTGAATTAAAAATTTAACTTATATTTACGTATTTATTCAAGTTCTTAAAAAAAATTGCTAGATGTAAACGATCGGTTTTTTTTTTTCAGAAATGGTTTTCATAATCGCACTGTCTGCTCGATTCAATATTTATAAATGAATAATTTACGATTTAAAGATATTTTTTATTCTAATTTACATTAACATAGTACAAATAACTTATCTCCGTATTTTGAATAAAAAAACGTTGCTGTTTTTATCATCCGAATTACGTTCATGTATTCAATATACGTTCAACGGTAACAAGTTAATAAATAATAAAAATAAATAATTAGCTGTTTGTGTGAAACTGTTTAGGAAAAACGTTTTTAAAATAAAAGTTCTGAGGAAAAAAAAGCAGGTTTATGGTAAAAGTTTAACTTACATTTATTCAAGTTACTAAAAAAAATTCCATTAAATGAAAAATAAACAATAATTTGGCTTTGATTATAGTTATAATTTGTCCTAGATGAATTACGCATGATGCTAATATTGTTTGTTTGAGTAGCTATGAATATAAGTAATTTTTAGCAAAGTCGACAAAAGAGTTTTTAAAATACCAGTTCTGTAAAACCTTTACTTGAAAAGTTGCTTGAAAAAAAGTTCTATTTCCAAAAGAAATTAAAATAGTTAACAATAAAATTCCTGTGATACCCATTTATTGATAAAAAAATAATAATAAGTGGACCAAAATGGTGCATAAACCTAAATTTATCAAATAAAGTTGCAACAACCGCACAATTTTCTGATTTCGAATAGGAAAAATTCTTAGTGATTTAAGGTTATGAAATGACACTTTTTGATTCAGCTTTGGTTTATTATTTTCCTTAATGAACCATTGTAACCGTCCAAAAAAATAACAAAATTAATCCTCAACATTGGAGGTTTACGTAGAACTCGAAAATCGAATGCAATTTTTTTTTGGCGCGCCCTCGTACGCCGTGCGCCGTACGCGGTTTTTCTCCGAGTCTACTTTACCGTTTTTTTTTTTTTTTCAAATTTGGAAACAAAATCAGAAGTCACCCGAGCATGATCCTCGACGTCGACATTACTATTCGCCCTTTCCTTCCAAGATGGCCGCCGAAAAACCTTTGTTTGTATGGACTGCATTGCCCAAACGAATTTACCAATTTCAATGGAACTTGGCTGAACTCTTTTCCTCGGTAATCTTTAAATTTATCTATTTAACCTACTTTAACGAATAGAAGCTCGAAAGAAAGTTACGAGGGATGATAAAATTACATTTCCGAATAACTCAAAAAGTATACAATTTTTCGTTAATATTACATATGGTTATTTAAAAGTTTATGAATTTTAATAAAAAACAAATAAAGTGTTTAAAATCAGACAATTTGGAGCAAGGATATGGTGTCCTAAATATGTTTTATATGTTCTACTGCTAATTAATTTTTTTTTTTTCATGTCTTATCAATAAAAAAAAAGAAAATTATAAAGGCCAATGCTAGTAATTCCTTTTTATTTATTTCCCTGAATTTGCATGGAAAATAATCTTAAGTTTGATGTCAAATCGTTTGGAAATAATAATCCATTGTGTAATAATTCGCAGCGTTTTTTTTTTTTTTTTTTTTTTTTTTTTTTGTAATGGATAAGCTACTTTAAAATTATTAAAATTTAAACATTATTTAAGAACAAACTCCCTACTACTATTTTGTTAATGGAGATTTTAGATAATATCTGATTTATAAAATCTAGATATGATTCTTGTTATTTTATATTATTTTTCGTTGTTGACGTAGTTTCTGTTCCTGCCTTGGTCGAACTTAGCTCGTTATATTTTAATACCGCCTTTAAGTTACGTCGTAAAATCGTTTCGCCTTTTTTTTTTTTTTTTTTCTTTCTTCTTCTCCATCCTAAGACAGGCCAGGCCACAATGAGAAAATCCGTTTGAAGCGGATCTCGTAACACTATCGGTCAGAATATTAACGACGGTTCGCGAAATCCATGAATAATTTGGTTGCTAAAACCCCAGAGCGGCCCTAATCGCCGATTCGGCCCTATTTATTCCCTTTGTTGGATCCTTACTAAGGGCAATGAATTTTAAAATGGTTTCTCGAATCATCTCGCGGCTGTCAGGGGAGGCCATGATGTATGGGATCGGTTAAGACGCTCCCTGTAAGGAGGGAGGTTGGCCAAATATCTCTGTGGCCAGCAAGTATTTGAAGAGATGAATCGGAACGCCCCCCCCCCACCGTATTGGTGGGCTCTTAATGAAGTAATGAATAATAAACGGGTAGGTTGAATAATATTGAATTAATAATATTGCCTTGGGGAAGGCACTCCTTTCAGTCTGGCTGCTTCCATTACACCTTCCGGCATTTTGGGATTCCTTTTGCTCCATTGAATTATTCTATTCAAGAAGATAACTCCTTTCTGTCTCATTTTATCAATAATTCTTTAATACTTCACAATTTTTTTAAAAATATTTATTTATGATATTTACTACTGTACTATAAAATATGATATAAATATGTCAACTAAATGTCACACGCCTCGGTGGGTTATCAGGAAGCAAGGTTAGAAACAAGAGGATTCGGATGGTTATGCAGTTTATTGTGGAAGATAGGTATCTGAATTGGGCCAAATCGGAAACATATGGAACATTAAGATATTTACGAAGGATTTTGAATTATAACGATACGACAGGAATTC